ATACTGACCATGCCTTTCAATCCCCAGGTTCAGAACCACCTGGAGAACTCCAAGTACCACCTCCACCAAGCCCAGGCCCAGCAGGTCAAACAGTACCTGACTCTAGGCACCAAGCTTCCCGGCCAGGCCCACCCACACCCGGGCCAGGCCCTGGGCACAATGCCTGTCATGCGCAACGGCCATATGACACCTGTCAGCAACAACAGCACGCCTGGCAGCCCCGTCACCCTGTTCACCCTCGCTAACAGCCACGACACTGAGGTGAGTACCATGCTCCAACCCCCATTCTCCCCCCACACCGCTCATCAATAACATCAAACATGTAGCACTGATCAATACCAAAGTAAAAGGGCTCACTAATCTGATAAGAGACATTTCCATCATGCTGCAGTCTTTTTGTGTGGAGATGATGAAACGCTTGTTATTGGATTAGGAAGCAGCCTGTCCCTCCCTCTGCACTGTTCTACTCTACATTGATTTAATGACTATTAACCTTTGTAGATAAAGCTAAAAAGGGACATTTGAGCATGGCAAATGTGTTACAGTGTAATCATTGTTTTCCTTTAGTTTCCAGTGGACGAAGTTATTGATGATCTTATTGGCTTTGAATCTGGGTTCAATGATGGGAGCTTGGAGTGTATGGAGCCTAGCATCATAATGCAAAATAATGTGAGTATGAATTATGTTCGTTCTTTAAGCGTGTGGATCAGCGACCTTGCTTCTGAAAATATAATATAACCACTGTCATTTCTATTAATGTTAACATTTTCCTGAGAAGAAAGTTTGTTACAGAATACGAATTAAGAAATGATAAGACTCTGATTACTTAAATTATGTCAACACAAATTGGGGGAGGGTTTAGACTAGTCTGCCTTGATAAATCTCTTTAGAAAGATCAGAAGTGCAAACCGAAATGTTGATACTTGATGTGCTTGGGAAAAAAGAGTTTGTCTTTTGGGAGGTCAGATTAAGTCCAACTTAAGAGTCCAGGAGTCAAAGTTCATCACGTGTGTGGGGAAAAGGCTTAAACGGCACTGCGTCCTTTGCTGTGAAACAATATAGATTAGCCACCTAATACAATCAGGGAACTGAGTGGTCTGCAGAAAATGAGTTGTAATGAATGCAAGCCTTATATACATATGCTCCTCTACTCTCTGTGAGGACTCTCACGGGAACTTTAGGGTAAAATTAAAGTACAAGAGGGAGAAAGTGAGTAATGTGACTGGATAACAAAGAGAGAAATGCATATATATATGCAAATGTGGAAAAAGTTCATGTTCATCTAAAGAACTGCAATTAAGGAACAAAAATGCATACACAGACGTCTAGGGATATACGCGCTCCCTGTGTTCCTTTGACTGCGCAGAAATTCGGCATTTTGCTGATGCTTAGCCTGGACAAAGAAGTGCTTGAGCGATGATTATAATGACACCTGAACTCACCAGAGAGGAATGCGTCACTGAACGAGAATCTGTCACATTGCATTCCACCACACACACAAAAGACAGCAATGGAGAGGAGGCCAGTGTTACAGAGGGCATGATAGGAAAAGAGAGGGAGTGTGCATGTTGAGTATACAGGAAGGAAAAAGAGAGAGAGAGAAAGAACAAGACAGATTATGTCTCAGCAATGCAGTGAGGCATCGGATTGGGCTAATGCCTCGACTCCCAGTGGGCTTGTTCAGAAATGATACCATGCTTAAATGGATCAATTGATTTTAATTAGTCATACAGTGCGATGCATCACATCGCTTCACGTGTCAACATATCCACGAACACGGATGGGAATGGATTGAAGTGATTACGATGCCAGGAGTCGAGGGACTGTAGCAATCTTTCATTTTTTTGATAAGCACAATTTTCCTCTACTGAGATAATGGCGCCCATGCACAGCAAAGCTAACAGTCAAACGCCGTATCTGCCCTGCTCTTCATCTAATACGGATTAAGTGCCATCTTTTTCAGTCCTTCAGTGTGTAATCCACATAGTGTGTGTATGAGAAGTGTGTTGACTGTACTCAGCTGTATATGCAGTGTGTTGAGCAGATGCAGCAGGAGGCTAACCCTGACACACAGCGCGCCTGTCGAATATCGCATGTGAAAAATGTCAGAACTGGTAAACAAGTGTGATCTGGCAGGTCCAGGTCTTATATAATGTCAGCAAGTGACAGATTAGATACCATACATAACCACCTGTTTATCCTCACATACATAACATGCTCAATCCTGGGACGTGGGCTGAAAACATGCTAGGAGAGAGAACAAAAACAGATACAAATACCACTACATATATAACAGAAATATAAATGACAGTGAAACATGTTCCTAGAGTTCATCTCATCCTCTCCTGTCTCCCTCTTCCTGTTTATTTCAAAGGTGGCCCTGAACAGCGGCATGCTGGAAGTCTATGGCGGTGACCAAGGTATGACTGCCTCTCATGGTGGACTGACACCCCCCTCATGCCCCACAAAGCTCTCTCTTAAAATGGAAGTCACAGGTACGGAGCACGGCTGGAGAAAGACTGCCGTAGATCTCTTATCGCTTTAAGGCCCCTAAATATCTCTCATCATTTCAAGATAAATGCAGATGCACAATGTGAAATGGGTACATGAGTAAAACGAGTACATGTACATGGGTACATCTAGTCTAACACGTGTGAGTCCATGACCAGTGCCTTAAACATAACAAGGTTCAATCTGCAAGAAAAACACACGAGCATGTTTCATGTCAGTGTCTGCTTGCTTTATTACAGCGACTCAAAGTGCACATTGTTCGACTTCCTCTTCTACTACACGCATTTCTCATTTTCAGTGCTTCAGTTAGCTGAGTATGATGGGACACATCTCTTGTGTCGTACATATTGCACAAAGAGCTCCTTGAAAGAGAGCCGCCCCACCCCCCACCACCGTGAATGTCATGCATCAACTAAAGCTAATTGATTTAGGAAATGTTAAGGATGCCTCAAGAACTCTTCACTCCGATGAGGAAAATAAGTCACTTACTATCTTTTTCACATAAGTGTGCTGCAGGACACAGAGCAGTTACACACAGATTAAATGTTCCTATCGAATCAGCAGAAATGAATCGAGAAATCTAATCATGGATTCCAATTACATAATTTGGAAGAATGTGAGTGGGATTCGGAACGATGGAGTACTTTTCCTTTGCGAAGTTGAGTTAATTGTCAGTGAGGGTGTTTTAGAAGAGGGCACAGAAGTGGTGTTAAGGATGCATGGGAATGAGGATAGGACTCAAGTTATGGTTGTGAGCTTAATTGGTTCATAGTGAACTTACTGAGTTTAGCATTAAGTCAGCTGCCATCTACCATCATTGCAATTTCACTTACATGTTTTTTGGCTTATGAAAAATGCTGAATTGGTGCTTTTTTCTAAAAGCCTGCCTTCTTCTTTTCTCTTCTCTCTCTCTCAACAGAACACGACACCAGAGTCTTAGCAAAAGAGAGGCAGAAGAAAGACAATCACAATCTGAGTAAGATGCTTTGTTTGTACATTTGTTTGTGTGTGTGTGTGTGTGTGTGTGTGTGTGTGTGTGTGTGTGTGTGTGTGTGTGTGCGTGTGTGTGTGTGTGTGTATGTGCGTGTGTGTGGCATGTATAGTGATCTTTATTTTCTCATTCGACAGTTGAAAGAAGGCGGCGATATAACATTAACTACAGAATCAAAGAGCTTGGAACTCTGATACCGAAGTCCAATGACCCGTAAGTGGCACTTTTTCCCCCACTGCTTCTAATCTATTAATCTAAAATATTAGCCTATAAATAATTTAAAAAAGAAACTACATATCGAAACAGTGTACAAAACACAAAACATCCTCTTCCCCAAGGCCCCAAGGCTGATTGGACTCGCCCAGTATGAAGTGGCATCAGTAGTTCAGTGCAAAACCCATTTGAATAACGATAAACGGGGTCAAAGGCAAAGCACGAACCATCTGAATAAAGGTTTAAGCACAACTAAACCTCCAGAAAGGGAATCCAGTGGCCCAGCTCAACTGAACTTTTGATAAAATTTAAATGGAAGGTTCCCTTTATCACCGTGCCATTACCATAAGATAAAGGAGATTAGCTCTGATCAGACCAAAGAAAGACACAATTTTACCACACTTCCTTCCTTTTAACAAGTAATGGAATTGGCGGTGGCTCCACTTAGCTTCAGCTCTCAAAATTCCTTTTTTTTTTTTTAGCTCAGGTGACACCTATTTTTACTCGAGGATTAATTTTTACCACAGAAGGACCATGAAATAGACTTTCTGCAGACACACTTAACTATTCTATTAAAATTCCCATTCAAAGCCAATGTAATGTCTGAGAATGAATAATTGGCCATGTAAATCACCATTTCTTAGTCCTATAAAATAGGGTTTTTGTGAAGATATTTTTCCTGTGTGTGAAGGTTCTGCTGACGCGACGCATGTGTGAAAAAGGTTATCTTTTCTGTTCTCTGGCAGTGATATGCGCTGGAACAAAGGGACCATCCTCAAGGCCTCAGTGGAGTACATTAAGTGGCTGCAGAAAGAGCAGCAACATGCGCGAGAGCTGGAGAGCCGCCAGAAGAAGCTGGAGCAGGCTAACAGGAGACTGCTACTCAGGATTCAGGTAGATAAAGTGGATAATAGAGTTCAAGTAAAACGGTAACAAAAAGGAAGAGTGGATAATATGAGTAAGGTGGACCAAAACAGCCATCATCACACACTCCTAGTAATTGCCCCATGTCTTACTGATATCTGTAACTGAGCTCTGATTGGAAACACAGGGAGTTGAAGGAAGTGCCTGATTAATAGCTAGAGCGCTAGGACAGGATTGCACCTGAAATTAGATTATGAGGCCTTAATAATGCAGGACAGCCAATCCTCCCGTCCCTGCTCGTCTGAAATTATGCATTACAATCCCGCAGTAGTGAGATACTCACAGAGCAGGCAGCAGAGACGTTACAGGCGTCCTCACACACACGGACATCCCAATTAGCCTCCAATGTAACTACCTAGGAGGCACAGTGGCTTAGTGGTTAGCAAGTTTGCCTCACACCTGCAGGGTTAGGGGTTTGACTCCTTTCTCTGCCCTGTGTGCATAGTGTTTGCATGTTCTCCCTGTGCTTTGGGGGTTTCCTCCTCCAGGCCAAAGACATACATTGCATTTTGATTGGCATTTCCAAATTGTCTGCAGTGTGTCAAAGGGTGTGTGCAGTTTTGCCCAGGCTCCCCTGTGTAGGATAAGTGGTATGGAAAATGGATGGATATAATTACCCAGAGTTCCCCTATCAAGCAGCTACTGATCTTCCCAATGACAAAGAGGGGTTGTATCTAAAGTCAAGACAATGTATTTCACAAATGAAAGTGGCAGAACTATGTTTTTCAAGCCCTTAACTTACTGCAATATATATTTATTTATTACTATAGGAAAGCTATTTATACATTCTTTATCCTGGTTGGCTGGATGTTGGAGGTCCACATCATATTTTCTGAGGCAGCTGCACAGTTCAAAGATGCTGTCAGCATGTGAGGGGAACTTTACTATATATTACAAAAAGTGTTCTCGCCTAAAAATAACTGACACCACCTTTAAATTGCAATGACAGGTAGCATTATCCTAGTGATCCCACTATCCTCTTCTTGGGGGAAGGTATGGAACAGAGTGCTGCATCCTGTCATCTTTAATATAGATTCAGAAAGAGTGAAAAGTAATGACCCCTGACCTCATTAGGGTTCTGTGTAAACTCCATTCATCATCAATGATCAGGGCAGATCCAAGTAGTGTGTACCGCAGAGACACTTGAATTATGATCCAATGGTTATAAGTGAAGAGAAAACGATCCGATATCTAATGCTTGAGTGTATGTGTGTGTTTAACAGGAGTTAGAGATCCAAGCTCGTGCTCACGGACTGCCCAGTAATCTGGGAGCAGCGGAGCTCTCATCTCACCTCATCAAACAGCAGCAGCAGGCACTTCCTGCTCCTGCGGTTACTCCTGGAGCACAGACTTCTCTCTACCCACAGGATGAGCTCAACGGCCCCGAGTACCTGCAGAGGAACTCCCTGTCTGTGCTCCATGCCGGAAATGAGGGCAACAGCAGCTCCTCTGGTGAGCATGCAGACACCTCTTCGACGACCTTCTCGGACCCGCTGTCGCACTTCACGGACTTCTTTAGCGCCACTCTGAAGGAGGAGCAGCGGCTGGATGAGCTCCTCATGGAGGAGGCGCTGTCTCCGTTCGGGACTGACCCGCTGCTTTCAGCCACTTCACCCAATGCCTCTAAGGGAAGCAGCCGCAGGAGCAGCTTTAGCACGGATGACAACGACGACCTTTGACTGCTGTTTTCCTACACTTCTGGACCTGGCGCATGTGACTGACCTGCAGCTTTTCCACTAGACACAGGGACACATCTTCTGTGTCTCTTGGAAAGTCAGAAACATCAAAAAAGGGGAGTTGAACCGATATTGTGAAACTACTGTACAGTCTGCTGCGTCTGACAGACAACCTTTACTGTAGATGCTTGTAACACTGGTCACACACATCACTGGACTATTAAAACTGTATATGTCTGAAGTGTAATATAATGGCATTGTTCATAAGGACCACTAAAGGAAAAAGTGAAGAGAAGATGGAGAAGAGGAGCTTTTTCCCTCCTCTGTCATGCCTTAACTAAAACAGGGTTAGCTTTATAAACATATACGAGTGGAAGTGTTGTAAATGTAATTTAATAGCAATACAACTAACATGCCTTTTTTGTTTCTAAAGTATTTTTAAAGGAAAATATCACTTTGTGTATTTATACATCCTAATCCCTGTATTGTTGGAAACACAATTATTTTTTAGACAATCTAACAAGTTTCTTTTTTATATCTCTGGGGTGGGAAAAATACATTAAACCCCTTTTTGATAAACCGAGTCTGCTTTTCTTTCATTCCTTCTAAACACAATGCCATTCCATCTCAGTTCAACAGGGGTAAAATATGCAGAAGGAAATTTGAAATATTTTTGAAACATATGCTCACACACACGCACACATACACGCACACACACACACACACACACGTACACACACACGTACACACAGGCCTGATTGTGTTTTATAGCTCCTCTACACTGCTGTGCGACTGATGAGGTCTTGGCCTGTCTGAAGATCTAGCAGCTGAGAGGTTTGGCGTTTAAGTGACATTCTGATGAGGACGTCTCCCTGTCGCAGGATACTAATGACACACAATATACCCGTAATTACACACAAGCTGAACGGCCATTAAAACACAGCTGCAGCCCTCCACCACACTGAGTTCGGGTTAGACCTTCAGCACTCTCCAGACGCGCCACATTTTATCCGCGTCCAAACTCACACAACACAGCAATAGAGGAAAAATGTGGAGCGTCGGCGGGGTCCTGAGGACTGGTTTGAGGATCACTTTGGGACAAATTGGCAGATTTCACCTCAAAAACAATAAGCAAAAAAAAAAAAAAAGCAAAAAAGAAGCAAAAAGAAATAACCAGAAACAAGAAAGGTATATAACTATATTAAATAAATATATTAAATTCTACCAAGATTTTTCTTTCAAATCTTAGTTCATTATTAATTCATATGTTTCATGTGACTCATATGCCACTTAAAGGCAAATGATATGACTCTTAATTATTTATTGAGGATATGATTGTTAACGTTACATGTTTTCCGGTTACATGGTTTCCAGCGTTCCATGTTTTACATTCTTTGAGTTTGTTCTGGCTTTTCACTGCATTCAAATGTTATTTGTTACAAAAGGTAATGCATTTTACACTGAGTTTTTTTTTATGTCTTTAATTTTTTTTAACGAATATTAATTGTTTAATTTCACTGCATTCATTGAATGCTATTTAAAAAAAACATATTTAATATAACCCATTAAAAAACCCACAAATGCCTATCAATGAAGCCCCTATGCTGTTTATTCAAGCTGTTTTTAGCCAATTTTATTTAAAGTTTTATTTCAGTTCTGTATGATCGTGAGTCTTTTGAAGGAATGTCTCATTAGCTGAGATTTTTAAGCAAATTCAGAAATGAAGTAATACATGAATAATACAACAAACAGCTGAGAGAGAAACATGTGAATGCGTTGCAGTGGAGAGGCTGTGTGTTCATCAAAGCCTGGCTAAATTAATGTTTTACAAAGCTATTAGATATTAGATAAATGTTCCTCCATAATGAAGTTGAAAGCATCAGCATCTCTCCACCATATCATTATCAAATACGGATGCTCTCACTACGGTTTACAAACATGAGAACACAAAGTAACCAAGCTTTCTTGTATGAATGATTTTCTGCTATTCCTATTTCTCAGCCCCTTCGAGAAGTCTTTTGCAGATTACACTTTGATTGCTCTGCTTAATATAAATATCAGCTGAGATGTTTAGGATGTCGAGACGTCAGGCAACATTGTGCATTTGCCTTGCTGAGTTTATTATAGTAGATTGAGGAAGATTTCCCACACGTCAAATATTAACCGCAACTGTTATATACATTAAAGCAGAAATACAGAAACAGTTTCACCTACAGTGGACTCTGAGAGATCATTCTGCCATAGCTCACGTCTCTGCTTTTAGTTGTGAAACACGTGCCATGTATGAGCAGATTTCTCAAGGATTTCTCAAGAGTTTTTCCTTGCCGCCGTCGCCTCTGGCTCGCTCATTATGGATAAATTTATAAATTTATTCTTTATATCTGGAATTTATATATTTCTATAAAGCTTTTTTTGTGACAATGTCCATTGTTAAAATGTCCATTATCATACAAAGAAAATTGAATTGAATCAGCTTTCACCAAGGTCTGCTGAAACAGAGGGGAAAGGACAGTATCTCCATCCATCCATCTATCCATCCATCCATGGGTTATCCTTAACAGGGTCGTGGGGAGACTGTAGCCTATCCCAGGGGACTTGGGGCAGGGGACTCCCTGGACGGGGTGCTAACCTATCACAGGGCACAATCACACACCACTCACACACTATGGACAACTTAGAAATGCCAATCAGCCTACAACGTATGTCTTAGGACTGGGGAAGGAAACCGGAGTACCTGGAGGAAACCGAAAAGCACAGGGAGAACACGCAAACGCCGCGCACACAGGGCGCGCACAGGGTGGAGGTGGGAATCAAACCCCCAGCCCTGGAGGTAACAATGCTAACCACTAAGCCACCATGCCCCGGGATAGAAAGAAGGAAAAAAAAAAAAAAAAGAAAATCAAGCCATGTGAAGTTACTGTGATTTTTGTGTCAGTATGTGTTGTTTCCTTTCATGGACAACACTAAAGATCCATACCAGGTATTATAGAAGAACCAGAGTTAATAAAATAAACAAACAAAGCCAGAAAACATAATATTTCACAAAGTCCTCATCAGAATGTAATTCTAGATGAACTCCAAAAAGAAATCAATTGAAAACCGTCAACTGGGGATTAGATGTGGTCATGCTTGATTAAAAATCACGTCAGGGTATGTCTCGTGTGTTAGCTCATGCAACAAAACCTATGCTCTAATGCATCTGTGCATCCACTGTAATGATGACTCTTCACCAGCCTTTAGTGGCAGTAAATTATTTTTGTGTTTCATACCTATGTGGCCATTTTCATTTATTTATCCCTTCTCCGTTCACTGCCCTACTTCACCAGAAGATGGAGATAATACACTGCGTCCTCCCTCTCCGTGCACACAACCTCCTTTCTCTCCACAACACTCTGAGTTTCCATCATTAAAACTGGCTATAGGATATACACACTACTCAAAGCTCGGTTCAGCTCGGTTTAGCCATTTGCACTGAGCTCCAGTATGTCTAAAAAATGAGGCAAATGCGGGATTTAATGGAGCAGCTCGGATATAATGTACAGTTCCTCACACTTTTTAGCAATGCCTACATGCAGTATTAAAGGCTTTATTAAGGTCTATGGTGTTAAAAGTTCAGACTTGAGACATCACACACACACACACACACACACACACACACACATGCACACACACGCACACAAACGCACATGCACGCGTCTTACTATACTTGTAAAAACATATTATTAATGCTATGCATAAACATATTATTAATGCTATGC